TGTATCAGTACCATGCTATTTTGGTTACAACAGCCTTGTAATATAACTTGAAGTCAGGTAATGTGATGCCTCCAGCTTTGTTCCCTTTGCTTAAGATTGCTTTGGCTATTCTGGCTCCTTTTTGATTCCATATGAATTTTAGAATTGTTTTTTCAAATTCTGTGAAAAGTGACATTGGTAATTTGGTAGGGATTGTGTTGAATCTATAGATTACTTAGGGCTATGTGGTCATTTTAACAATGTTGATTCTTTAAATCCATGAGCATGGAATGTTTTTCCATTTGTTTTTGTCCTCTACAGTTTATTACGTCAGCATTTTCTAGTTCTTCCTGTGGAGATCTTTCACCTCCTTGATTAAATATATTCCATGGTATTTTAGCTTTTTGGCTGCTATTGTAAATGGAATTGAGTTCTTGATTTGATTATCAGCTTGGTTGCTATTGGTGTATAGCAGCTTCTGATTTGTGTGTGCTGATTTAGTATCCTGAAACTTTATCGAATTCATTTATCAAGTCCAGGATTCTTTCAGAGAAGTCTTTAAGGTTCTCTAGGTATAAGATCCTATCATTGGCATACATAGATAGTTTGATTTCTTCTTTTCCAATTTAGATACACTTTAGTTTTTTCTCCCTGATTGCTCTGGCTAGGACTTCCAGTACTTTGTTGAAAAGGAGGGGTGAAAGTGGGCATCCTAGCCTTGTTCTCAGGTTACAATGTTGGTACTGTTTCTTCAGTTCTGCTCTAAAGTTTCCATTACAAAACAATACTCTACAACAGCGGTCCCCAGCCTTTTTGGCATCAGGGACCGGTTTCGTGGAAGATAATTTTTCCACAGACAGGGATTGGGGCGGTGGGGACTAGGGCATGGGGAGTGGGGACTGGAGTGGGGGATGTGCAGTCAAACCTCACTGCCAATCACTGCCTCATTTCCACCTCGGATCCTCAGGCATTAGATTCTCATAAGGAGCGGGCAACATAGATCCCTCGCATGCACGGTTCACAGTAGTGTTCCCTCTCCTATGAGAATCTAATGTGCTGCTGATCTGACAGGAGGCAGAACTCGCTCGTCACTGCTCACCTATGTCGCCCAGTTCTTTTTTTTTTTTTGAGTTGGAGTGTCTCTCCATTGCCCAGGCTGAAGTCCAGTGGAATGCTCATGGCCACCCCAGCATCGACCTGCGGGACTCCGGCAATCCTTCTGCCTCAGCCTTCCAAGTAGTTGAAATTACAGGCACGTGCTACCAGGCCTGGCTAATTTTTTAATTTATTATAGAGATGAGGTCTCGCCAAGTTGCCCAGGCTGTTCTTGATCCTGTGGGCTCAGGCAGTCCCATCACCTTGGCCTCCCAAAGTGCTGGGATTACAGGCCTTAGCCACTGCGTACTGGCCACAGACCAGTACCAGTATGCAGCCAGTGAGTTGGGGATCCCTGCTCTACAGTATTGATTGAATGTAAACATGGTGTTAGTTGCCCAGATTGCTTTATCTAGGTATGCTAATGAAACCCTACACGTTTGATTGAAGAGATGACTTTGATATATTAAAATTTTTAAAAAATATGAAAATACTTTAAAAGTGTAATCTTTTCTAGCTTAAACACTTTTCCTTACTGGTGTTCTCTCTTAGCTACAAGCAACAGAAGTGGACTGTTCCATTTGGAATATATATGTATAATTACCCCTTGAACCCCTGTGAACCGTAGTCCATGACGACCTTTTAGAATACTTGGTGAACATTTCATATACATTTAGGTCTATTAACAGTCAACACCACTGAAACACATCCCTCAGACAGCAACTTTTGCTTTATGGAGGCTGATTTTCTACAGACTGATTAGCATGAAGCTTGAGTGAGTGCAGTCTCTGGAATCAGCTTCGTGGGGCTTCACGTCTCAGACCCATTACATACTCTTGGTGTGTCATTCAATCTCTCTGTACTTTTATTACCTGTGAACTAGGGACACTTGATGCCACTTCACCAAGAGTGTTGTTGCAGTTAAATTATGATAATATAGATCAAGCATATATGATGCTACCTGGCTTATAATTATAAAAGCTAGCACATGTAGTACCTACTGTTATTATTCTAGTCCACTCATTTTGTAGTATCACAAGCAAAAATAATTTGGGTGGTCAGTATGTGAGAAATTTGAAAAATGTTCTCATAAATGTCAATATCCTTTCAATGTTCTATTGCATAGACAATGCTCACTTCTTAGCTAGTACAGTACAAATTTTCTTGGGGCATTCAGTTGTGCACTTTGTAAAAGTAATTTATGCTGGCATGGGGAATCTGTCTTAATATTACTTTAACATCACATAAATGTAAAGAAGCTGACTTATGGACTATAATTTTCATTGATGAAAATTGTACGTTAATATACTTTAAACACTGAATATAACTGAATGACAACTGTACTCTGCAGCATTTAGAACTATGTTCTAATCCAAGAAGACACAAACAAATTGAAAAATATTCTATGCTCATGAATAGGAAGAATCAACATTGTTAAAATTTCCATCCTACCAAAGGCAATCTACAGATTCATTGCAATACCCATTAAATTACCAACATCATTCTTCTCAGACCTGGAGATGACAATACAGAAATTCATATGGAAACATAAACGACCACGAATAGCCAAAACAATCCTTAACAAAAGAAACAAAGCGGGAGGTATCACACTTCCAGACTTTTTAACTTTACTATAAAGGCTACAATAATCAAAACAGCTTGGTATTGGCACAAGAATAGGCATATGGACCAATGGAACAGGATAGAGATTCTGGAAGCAAAACCTCAATTGCTCAACCAAGTCATCTTCGACAAAGCCTCCACCAACAACCACTGGGGAGAGGAGAACCTATTCAATAAATGGTGCTGGGAAAACTGGCTGGCCACATGCAGAAGATTGAAATAGAACCCTTACCTATCACCATATAGAAAAATAAACTCTAAATGGATCAAAGACCTAAACGTAAATCCTCAAACTATAAGAACCTTAGAAAACCCAGGAGACACCCTTATGAAAATTGGTACTGGCAACCAGTTCCTGATCAAAACCCCAAGTGCCCATGCCATAAGAGATAGACAAGTGGGACCTCATCAAACTTACAAACTTCTGCAAAGCCAAAGAAACCATCAAGAGAGCAGGTAGACAGCCCACAGACTGGGAAAAAATATTTGCCAACTGTTTGTCTGACAGAGGCCTAATATCCAGGATCTACAAGATACTCAAACATGCTGAAAGGGAAAAAACAGCACCATTAAAAAGTGCACAGTAGCCGGGCTTGGTGGCTCCACCTGTAATCCCAGTACTTTGGAGGCCGAGGCGAGTGGATTGCCTGAGCCCGAGGGTTCGAGACCCTCCAGGGCAACTTGGCAGACCTCGTCTCTACAATAAAATCAAAAACTAGCTGGGTGTGTGGTAGCGCACACCTGTAGTTCCAGCTACTTGGAAGGCTGAGGGGGAAGGATCGCTGGAGCCCAGCAGGTTGAGGCTGCGGTGGCCGGGAGCGTGCCACTGCACTCCAGTCTGGGCGACAGAGTGAGACTCCAACTCAAAAATTAAAAAAAATTTAAAAAATAAAGTGTGCAACAGACATGAAAAAGTGCTCAGCCTCACTTATCATCAGAGAAATGCATATTAAAACCATTTTGAGATGCCACCTAACCCCATTCATAAAACAAACAACAACAGATGCTGGCAAGGATGAGGAGAAAAAGGAATGCTTCTACACTGTTGGTGGGAATGCAAACTAATGCAACCTCTTTGGAAAATAGTGTGATTTCTAAAAGAACTCAATATTGACCTTCCATATGACCCAGCCATCCCCCTATTGGGAATATACCTGGAGGAACTGAAATCATTCTATAAAAAAGATATCTGCACATCTTTTATTGCAGCACTATTCACATGTTTATTGCAGCACTGTTCACAATAGCAAGAACATGAAACCAACCCTGGTGCCCATTGAAACTGGACTGGATTAAAAAAAATGTGGTACATACACACAATGGAGTATTACGCAGCCATAAAGAAGGACAAACATGAACTTCGCAGCAACTTGGATGAATTTAGAGTCTATTATACTCAGTGATCTATCACAGAAGTGAAGAGCAGAGTACCACTAGTTCTCCCTCATAAGCGGACTCTGAATATTTACCATAATACTATAAGAAAGCGATTGGCAGTAGTGGGATACTGCTGGGGTGGTGGGGAGGGGGAACATATTATCAAAAAGTGTACCTGATCTCAAACGAAGCAAATTGGGGACCAAAGGGAAGCCCAAACTTTACTTGTACGATGCCCACCTATATACCTAATCCTGAATTTTACCCCATGTTTTAAAAATTAATAATAATAATAAAGAGCTCAGTGGCTCGCCGAGGCGAATGGATTGCCTGAACCCACGGGTTCGAGAACTGCCTGGGCAACTTGGCGAGACCTCGTCTCTACAACAAATCCAAAATTAGCCGGGTGTGGTAGCGCACACCTGTAGTGCCAGCTACTGGGAAGGCTGAGGCAGAAGGATCGCCAGAGCCTAGCAGGTCAAGGCTGCGGTGGCCAGGAGGTTGCCACTGCACTCCAGTCTGGGCGTCAGAACGAGACTCCAACTCAAAAAAATAAAATTAATAATAATAATAATAATAATAATAATAATAAAAAAGAACTGTCTTCTAGACCTTGAATCTTAAACTCTGCTGTGCTGATTCATACCTTATCTTTTAAAGGACTTCCTCATCTTATACTTTGTTTTAGGACCAGAGAATTACTACAAAATCCTATTTTTTTTGAAAGTGAATGGATTGGACTAAATCTACTACATATTACCTTTTACCTATGATTCTATACATTTTAGCTATGCACCTAGCATTCAGTTTAGAAGTGTATTTAATTTGTTAGTACTTTTAGTTCTTTAATAAAATAGATTTGTATCATACTCTTTTATAGTTGCTATTGAATTATTTAACACTGTTTTTTATAACCTTCCTCTAAGGTATTCCCATCTGTCAGCAGCACTTAATTTGGAATAACACGGAACTTGAAGATAATTATTGCTTGAATGATTACAAGTGAGTGTAATTGCATATTAGCTGTATAGGTAATTTGTATTATCACTCCATATGTCAATGCTTTTCTTTGAATACTTGAATCATGTTTCTTCTTTTGAATGGTTCTGATTCTTAGAGATTTCATTATAAACCCTGAACTTTAGATGCATTAGTTCAGTACCCCATACCTAATCTTTGTTCTTTAACACTTTTGTTTAATCCTTTCATTTTTCATGCCAAGCTGGTTATCCCCTTTCTTTTTACATTCTTCTATTATTTTTTTGCCTCCTTTGCTCCTTTATTGGACTCTTGACACATATGGTCATGTTCCTTTTCTTTTGGTTTTTGCAAGAGTTTTGGGTAAGAGAGAATTGCTCTCCACCAAGTCTTTCATTTCTCATTAAGCCCTCCTTTCATTACTAAGTGATGTTCTGTGCACCACTAATCTCTCACATAATTCTAGAGCAAAAGGGGGAGAGGCATTGTGGAATAGCTGAAAGAGTACCGGGAGATAGGAGATCTTGTGGATTTGCTGTTTTTCTTTTTTAAATTTTATTAACTAGATCTGCCATTTTATAACACTTTGGGGTTTGGGCAAACCGCTTTTCTTCTCTGGACCTCCTTTTCCTTACACATGAAATGAAAAACCTAAACAACATGATCACAAAGACCCTTTTATTCTGGGATTTCATATCCTATTTAGGGCTTATGAGAACTTTCTAACTTTTTCATTATTAATACAAGTAAATATGTTAACATTTTATATTTATTCACTTTGCTGTGTCTTCTTATCCTTTAGAGAGTAGGCACTATGCTGATAAACTAGCATATAATTATGTGTACATTTAAAACTGAGTATATTTTCATGATTATGGTTTATTTTTGTGTTAACTATTCACAGCATTTCAGAAGGTTGTACCTTGAAGCTGGTATTGGCTATGCGTGGTGGACCTATAAATACTAGAAGAGGTAGGCATATGTATACTAAAGCTATTTGACAATACCATTCTCTAAGTCAGTTAGTATTTCTATAGTCTTGATTTTATTCAGGTTCCTTTGCTGCTATTAGGTCTTAAAGGAATCACATTTAACTCTCTAGGCATTGTTATTTAAGATCTAAATGCATACAGTTTGGAACTCTAAAATATATTCCAGAAAATCTTACCATTCTTGATTTAATTCAGGGAGATTTAAAAAACAAACCTCACCAGAGTAGAGAAGGGTAATAGAATGACATGATATAAATATTATAATATTTATAATTATAACTGTATTTAGATGTATACCAGTCTTGTTGCTTTTTAAAAAAATATACCAAGTCTTCAATTGCTAGAATAATGATTGTTATGCAAAATTCCAGCATTTCCTGTTTACCTGGTTAGTGATGCAATTAGGTTTTATGGATATTATTATGACTTTGTTGAATCCTTTCTCAGAATGTGGGTGGTTCTGAGGTCCATTCATTTCTTCAACAATTACTAAATGATCAGTTCAGTGTTCCAAGTGCAGTAAACATGGGAGAGAAAGTCTCTGCTTTATCACACTACCTACAACAAATGTATAAAGAATTGGTATAATTTCAAGTGGTTGTAAGTCCTAAGCAGAAAATAGGGTAACATGATGTGTCTATGGAAGTAGATTAGTAGGAAGGGTCCTCAGAGAAAATGATGTGAGTGAGATTTAATTGACAAGAAGGTTTTAAGCATGGGAAGAATTAGGAGTATTCACCTTGGTCCCTGATTCAGGTATGTCACATGAATCGTCATCAGGTGAAGATGACTACTCAGAGCAGTCTTACTCTGTGCATCTCATTTTGGAAAAGACCTCCAGATTTCTCTGATCCTTTACTAACCAGAAAACTGAAGGTTAAGTATTGATTCCATTTCTGGCTTACTTCCAAATTATATCTGTGTCCATAATTTTGGTTAGAAAATTGGGTTATTACCGTCTTTTTCTTAGCTACCTTAAGAGGATTTAGTGAGATATGTTTCTTTGACTGTTGAACTCTTTTGCATAGGTTAGAGAAAACAAAGGTAATAATGTCAGAACTGATTAAATAGCCCTCTTGAGTTCAGGGACTTTGTATTCATGGATTTATGTAATTGTCCTATGTTACATAAGGTAATGTTTATAGCAAATGACTCTAAGGGTAGTGTAAGAACCCTATGTGTTTACTGAATCATTATGTTAAGATAGAATTATATAGTATTTAATGTCATCTGAATTCTATTGTATTATATTTTTAAAAGTTATTTGTGTGTAGTACTGTGTTTAAACTACAGTGTTTAGTCAGATGCCTATTTTAAATTAAAACTAGAATTATTTTATATGTTTATGAGAAGGAGACTGATACAGATTCTGAGTTAAATATATATGTTTTTATACTGTTCTCTTTTTAATTAAAATGAAGGCATCACTACCATCTGGAAATTGAAACTTTGTAATAACGGCTTCATGATCATCTTTTTCTGCTGCTTTCTATGCTTTGTTTGTGAATTGAGAAATCAGCAGCTAGAACTTGTCTATTTTTGAATATTTTAAAGTAAGTTTTTAATAATTTGATCAACTTTTTAAAAATCAAAATCTTATTGTTTCCCACCTTATAATCATTGAAAACTTTGAAAAAAAGAGAAAAACTGAACCCAAATTTAGAACTTCTCCATATTGTATTTGGCAAACTGTATTTTTTAGCTGTTTAGACTTATTTCAAAATTATGGCTTAGAAAGTACCTTTGTCAAGTGGGTTGCATTAATATTTAGCTTTTAAATTTTTTTGAAGTAACCATTATTAAAGCAGCATAGAAAAAATTACTCTGTTTTCTAAAACTAAATTATGTCCTAAAATTTATATGCATCATTTTATAGCTGATAAAAATCTAAAGGATTTTTTTGTAGTGAGAAGACGTATATATATACACACATGTGCATACACAGGCAACCACAATGCCTCCCTGAATATGACAACCTGTGCCAGTTTAGGAAAGGCTTTCTTGTGGGTGTAATAATGACAGTAGCAGCACCTCTAAAAATCGATATCATAATTTTTATCCCTTAATGTAATGTAAAATTGGAGCATTAAGTTAAGAAGGGCAAGAACTTGTTTGAAAAATGTCTTTTACTATTTATACATTTTGTGTCTATGAAAACCAATCAAAACATCCAAATAATTATTTTCATAAAATAAGCTAAATCATATTTTATTTGTAAAATATTTATGTTTTAGTAGTAGTGGTATTGAATTTGGGATATGGAAACATCTTTGATGTTTTTATTTTATTACTTTCAGAGTTTAATATTTTCCTGTTGTGACTTCTTTCTAAAGGGTAGTTAAACACCATGATTCTGTTAGTAAATAAATGAAGATTATGCAGCTTGGGAAATTGTTGCCTTTCTTAGGAGAGAACAAATGTTTCTGGAACATGACATGAAAATGTCTTTGGTAGAGAACTTTTTTTTTCCTGGAACTGTTACTTCTGAGTTAGGTTCAGGAGCATCTGAAACATCCATCCTATGAGCCAGCAATTTCTTGAGGCCCATTCTCATTCACCTTAGAGCTAAAATCTGGGCTGTTGTACATGAGAACAGTATGCAATGATGGCTGCAATGTCTTTCAAACCTGAGGATAGCTCTGGACCACTAAATCCTACCAGTAGTGGGGGCTTCAGAGTGACTCTGGTCACCCTATGTAGCTCCATGTGCCCTAATTGGACATATGGATACATACCAGAACACTTGGGGTCCTGGGAGAATGCTTTCAAGAAACAACATACTGACCATTTCACACATTGCAATTGTAGTACACTAAGTGGTCCCTTCATGTTCTAAGTTATTGTGTACCTGACTTCACATCAAGGAACACCTCTAAGAATCAGCCTTTATATAAAACCGGAAAGAAAAACAGAGGTTTATTTACTTCTGATTACTTACTTGTCTCTCAATTTTGTGTATGTGTGTTTTTATTTTTAATCTAAAGCAAGTTGGATTTATGTTGCTTTTAATTATGAATTATTTGAACCAATATTTGAAATATAGGAAACAGAAGGTGTACAGCAAAAAAACTTTTGATAATAATGTCATAGAATCAGTAAATATACAGACTCTAGTGGCACGGGGAAAAAAACCCAAAACATAAAGTCATCCTGTTTTGGTTTTAAGCCAAAACATAGCAACATAAGAATGCATTTCATTTCTTTCATATTAATGCAGCTTGGGGAATACTTATTAACTATACAAAGTCAGAAACATATTTGAAGAATATCATGTATATATTATATGCATAAGGTTGTTGTTTTAATTCAGCACATTGTAATATCCTGTTACTATACTAATGGCTACTAACTAAAAACTTGTTTATTGATCTTTCCGTTTGTAGTTCCTATGGAAGATCCACTTAGGGAGATGGCTGAGTACATGGATTCCACTCAAGATGAGGTCTGGGAGAAGATCTCCTGCAACAAACAAGTTACATTTTTGGTATATCGAGAAGGAGATCAGTTGAATTTCTTTCATGTAGTAGATAGGGGAGATGGCACGTTAACACCATTATCTGAATCTTTAAGGTAAATAGTTTTAATTTGCATGTCTCACTTAACAAAGGAGAATATTGTACGATGTACTCCATAAACCTTTATATTTACTTTACGGTATCAAGATGATCATAGTATATTAATAAAACAGACTAAATTTCATGTATTTCCTACTCATCCCCCCAACATGTAATTCTTAAATTGTCCTTCATATGATTGATATAATAAGTAATTTCTAATTTTGAAGTTCCTTTATGGAGGAGAATTTTTTCATAAAAATGACTTGTTTCTGTTACTTTATGAAACTCTAAAATATCTTCTAGATTATTGAGTCTTGTTATAATAGTGTGTTATTGTACAATTTTGGCATAATAGAAAGGGTTAAACCTAAAGTTAGTATCTTTTTTCTTAAAAGCAGATAAATCTCTTTACTTCTCTGGTCTTGTTTTTCTACTCTATAAAAGAGAGAAATTATAATATTACTTCTAAAGTCAAAAAGAAAAACTATATAGATATTTAGGCAATAGAAAAATTTGAGAATTAGAGAAGGTAACCTCTAAGTTTCTGTGTGTTCTGACTTAATATGATCCATTCTTTTTTAAATTATTATTATGATTCTTTATCTCCTTTTACTTTATGGCATTAAACATTTACTGAACTCTTATAGCCAGACACTAAGCAAGGCACTCACTTTACAAAGATGATAGTCCCTATCTTCATGGAGCATACAATCTGCTATAAATAGTATCTGTGAACTATTGTTGGTGATTGGTATAAAAAGATATTAAGATCTTAGGGAAAACAGATGAGAGGACCCTAATTTTGCCTGAAAGGAGGAGAGTTAGGAACAACCTCTGGAAAAAAGTGACCTTAAAATAGGAGTAGAGTAGAAGTCTTTCAAGAAGACAATGGAAGTAAAGATATTACAGCCAACTGAAGTTAATCCTGCAAAATAAAGAGCAAGTGAAAAAACCACTTAAAAAAAAATCAACTTGTAGTTTGGGGAACAGTTTCTGTGGATCAGGACTCTAGGCACAGTATAGCTGGGTGCTGTGCTCACGGTCCCACATGGCTGCAGTCAAGGTGTCAGCAAAGATATGTTCTTATCTAGAGGCTTGACTGAGAAGAGAGTCTACTTTTAGGGTCGTTCACATTGTTGGCATAATTTATATCCTTCAGTTGTGACTGCCAGCCCCAACTTCTTGCTCACTGTTGGCTAGAGATTGCCTTCAGTTCTCTTTTGATTAACTCAAGATCAACTTATTTGTACAGCCTGAATTACATTTACAAAGTTCATTTACCTTTGCCATATTAACTTGAATAAAATCTAGTCATACGTCATTCCCACACTCAAGAGGTAGGAGACTATACAGGATATGAACACCAAGAGGTCTGGATCACAGAGATTCCCCTAAAATTCTGCCTACCACAGAGTGTTATGTGGAAGAAGGATCAGACTCAATTTTTGTGGCCACAGCGAACAGACTGTGACAAATGGATGTTGGACTGTTGACTATAATATTTCAGAATCTAGTTAGCACTACAAATGTTGTATAACCATATGGACAAGAAGCAAAGAAGAGGTAGCAATGAAGGCTACAGCCTTGGATAATTACTAGAATTTCTTTATACTGGCTTCTCCACATTCTCTTCCTAAGTACAGCCTCTTTTGTTTTTGTTCTTCCTTAGTACAGCCTCTTTTGCTTCTCCTTTCCTAAAGAAGGAAATCTAAGCTCCATTGCTTAGCAGTTGACACCCTTTACAGCCTGTCATCATCAGTTTACTAGGTCTTTTCCTTATACCATATTGTTTGTTTGTTTGTTTTATTTTGTTTGAGTCAAGGTCTCACGCTGTTGCACAGGCTGGAGTATAGTGGTATGATCATGGCTCATTGCAACCTCAACTTCCTGGGCTCAGGTGATCCTTCCATCTCAACCTCCCAAGTAGCTGGGACTAAAGGCATGCGCCACTATGCCTGGCTAATTTTAGTAGAGACAAGGTTTTGCTGTGTTGCCCAGGCTAGTCTTGAAGCCCTGGCCTCAGTAAACCTCCCACCTCAGCCCCCTAAAGTGCTGGAATTACAGGCAAGAGCCACCATGCCTGGCCTATGCCATGTTTTTACATACCTTTTCCCTTTGCTTGAAGTACCATTTCCTCTCCTTACTTCAGTTTCCTCAAGGCAGCTTCTATTTGTGATTATGACTTAGCCCAAAAGTTGTCATGGACTTCAATTAAAATTATCTTATAATTTCTCTCAAGGTAATTTTTTGTTGATTTTTCTCTTGCTTTCTATTCACCCATCACAATTGGACAAGGAAAAGGATGAGTGAGTGAGGAAGGGGAGTAGAAAACTAACTGCTTATACATTGAAGGGCATTTATCTTACCTATTCTAGAAGAGACTTTCTTACTCTACAACAAGAGACAACAAACTTTGTCTAAAAAGGTACATATAGTAACTATTTTATCATTTTGGGGACCAAGAAATAATAGCATCAAGGATATTATGCAGGCACTTATTTTTTTCTTTTCTTTTCTTTCTTTCTTTTTTTTTTTTTGAGTCAGATTCTCACCCTGTCGCCCCGGCTAGAGTGCAGTGGCATGCTCACGACCATCATCCCAGCATCAACCTGCTGGGCTCAGGCAATCCTTCTGCCTCACCCTTCCAAGTAGCTGGAATAACAGGGGCGTGCTACTGCACTTGGCTAATTTTTTGATATATTGTAGAGACGAGGTCTCACCCAAGTTGCCCAGGCTGGTCTCAAACCTCTGAACTTTGGCAGTCCTTTTGCCTCGGCCTCCCAAAGTGCTGGGATTACAGACTTGAGCCACTGCGCCCAGCCTATGTAAGTACTTCTATAACAAGAGAGAAAACAAATTTCCACAAAACTTTTACTGACAAAGTTTAAAATATAAGAGTAACAATTGGGCACTCTTTTTCTTTTGTAATACAGGTCTACTTATCAGAAGAATAGGATTTTTTTTGTGGGAATAATATTTTACCGAATTGAGGTTTAAAGATAGTGTTGCCTACAAATTTGCAGAATCAGTTGCAAAAATTGATGTTTATGCTGATCTGTAATGGTATTTTATGTATTTTATCTTTGAAATTTTTTTCACATAGATAGGTACTGCCAAATAGTGATGATTGTCCATGAGCATATGATTTTAATTGAACATACTCATCATTTGGAAGGCATTTAAAGAATTCTCTTAGATTTTCTCTTGCTATTTGCCCTAGAAGCCTCTCAGTTGCACATTTAAATGGATTTTGAAATATAAGCTTGCACTGAGGTATAAAAACACTGCCAGAGGTATTGTTTGAGCAGAACAGAAAATATATCTGTTGTAGATTTGTGTGGGAATGGAGATCTTGCTTGAAGATTTTTAACTTTTGAAATATAAGAAGCATTGTAGCTTGCCATTGCATGTGATTTCAAACACGAGTTGTTGTCGAACTGATATTACTGCAGTATGTTTCACATTTAAGCATTGTTTTGTCTTGTAATTTTGAGTTGAATTTGTTAAGAGATATTAAGTCCACAGCAAAAACTAATTCCCAAAGGCATTCAGTGTTTGATAATAGTGATTAAGGGTAATTCTTCCATTCAAAATTCCTGAGCCAAAAAGTCATAATAAAACCGTATTACCCCAAGCTGTTAAGCTGATGGATAAATCCATTAGACAACTGAAGTTTATCACTAACACTGTGGGTTTACTAATATGTGATAGATGCAAATATTTACCGCAGATTACCTGCTGATGAATTACACATAATAACTGTAGGCTTTAAACACTTTACATGTTCACTAACATTATGAGTAATACATATGTTCAACAGTTTTTCCTGTTCCATGCATATTATCATCTCATCAGTTGCAGCAGATTTCACTTCAAGTTGTACTAAATTAGTGTTTCTGTAACTTCTTTGAAAATATTCTCACCTATAGTAGTTTCATACAGCCTATCTTAATGGCTAACTCCTCAGCCACTTCAAACTTCTTGTTAATGCCCTGAGTAAGCTATAAAACCTGAGAAATATTGATAACATATGTCGACTCATCAGAAACCAAGGAGAATGTCTCAATAACTTGCCTTATTTTTTAATCGGCTATTGATATTACTTCCAATGTTGTCAGTGCTTTCAGAATTTGTTCCTGATGTAAAAGTCTTTAAACTAGTTAATTTTCTCTATGCACACTTCTTCAATTGCTGTGATTAAACGTGGTTGAATTAGTTCACTATTGATAAACAACTTGCCTTGGATGACTAGCAATTAAGTCACTCAGACACTTCTTTAACTGTAGCCTCATTTTCATTTTCTTTATTTTTGTGAAAAAATTCTGCTGTCACAAGATACTCCATTGTAAATTTTCTACTTTTTCTAACTATTGCTTTTCTGCAAGTTGGGAATATTGTGATGGGTACTTAACCTGGTAATGCCTATCAATACTGTTTTCCTTTAGCATAGCTATGATGTAACTGCGTAATAAGCACAATGCTTTGCCATCTAAGTAGTAACACATAATCTACTCTACTGTGCCTTAAAACTGCAAAATTCAAAATCTGCTTTTCCTGTTTTGAAATGTTGGGTATATACTAGTAATTTTTAAAAGTCACAATATGGCATAACACATGACACTCAAAATGTTGATAAATTATGACTATAACATTGTGATTTGTAGTTTTCTGCACCACAGTGCAGAGCAGTGAGAGAGCCACATACAATCTTTGACATAGGTACTCAACTCTTCCATTGTAGGCACAAGCAGCCATGTGTAATACATGATCAAGTAAGTGTGGCTATGTCCCAAATCAAACTGCTTATGGGCACAAGTTAGAATGTCATATCATTTTCATGTGTTATGAAACTAATATTTTACTTTTTTTCAACTATTTAAAAGTGTAAAAACTATTCTTAGCTGTTGGGTTACACAAAAGTAGGTGACAGGTAGGATTTGACCCATGGTCATAATTTGCTGACTCCTACTCTAGGAAGAAACAGGGAGAATTGGGTGTTTGTTTCATTCTGGTACAAAATGCAACTTTAGTCGTATTTAGCGTCAAATCTTTTTAGGGCCACCATATATTTTTTAAAGTGAAAATAAATATAAAAAGACATTGCAAGGATTAATGATAAACTGTGAAAGTCAAATAGGGACTTGACTTTAAAATGAACACATTTCATGCTGAAATAAATACTACATTTGCCCATTTCTTATTCTTTAAACTTTATTAAATTAAAAGAGAAAGTTATATATAGCACTATATATATATAGTATTTAGAAATTCAAGAAAATACTAGAATATTTATATATAAGGAAATATATTTTTGGATTAAGTTTATAAATTACTGTGTTATTCTAATCTAGTTACATTTTTCTGTCTTAAAAAATTTGTAATTGACTTCTAACTGAGCTTATGAATCCATGCTTTGCAAGAAAAAGCACTATAATGTGATTCACTATAAGGTGAATTTCAAGGTGTTTTTATACTTTAAATACATATGATGATTTACCATGATTGTACTTTTTTACACATATATTCCATGGGAGAATAGGTCTTTTCATGATTCTAAAGTTGGATCAGAAATTTTCTTCAGTATTCTATAAAGTTAGCATACCATAGATTGGCAGAGACGTATTTAAGGTTAAAATATTGCAAGATGACTGAGAATAGAGTATACTGGAGTAATTCCCCCTAACTCCACAGAATGAAATGACAAAAATCTTCCTGCAACTTTCCTTTTCAGGTACTATGTAAAGCTATATCTACTAGCTTTCTGGTCTTAAGCCAAATCACTTAACCTCTAGACAAAAGGCTTCACACACTATAGACTTTGTCACTCATTTGGATCCACAAATATGATGCAGTAAGGCTTGTTATTTGGTGCCAGGGGAAGCAACAGGAAGTAGTAGGAAGAATCAGCTTTGGGACCAAACAGTTGGAGGACTTGAATCTCGGTCCACCATCTAGCTTTCTGGTCTTGAGCCAAATCACTTAACCTCTCTCAATGGCAGTTTCTTCTTTTACAAATGGGTTGTAATATCTACCTTACTTAGTTTTGTGAGGATTAGGAATAATGTGTGGGAAGTACCTGGCAGAGTAGGCATTCAGTAAATGGCAGAAAGTGTTATTTTAGTGTTGTACTTGCCAATTATTATGCTGTAGCAGGCATCTACAGTAGATAGCTGTGACAGTCATTAGTCCAGTACTACAGACTAAATTGGTTGTGAAGATCAGTTTGTACATTCTTCCTTCTGATACTCATGCCTGTGGTGTGTAAAATGAATCCATAATTCTAAAATGTTATTCATTTCATCATATAAAAGTTAGGCATAGGGCTATCTACTGTCTGCTTTGCCCTCATGTGGTAGTAATATGTGCTTCAGAAGTGTTATGGAATTTGCCTTATTAAGGCTGTCCTAAACTGTTTCCATTTCTTTTTTGTTTCGAATTGGAGTTTCACTTTGTCACCCAGGCTAGAGTGCAGTGGCACGCTCACGGCCATCACAGCCTTGACCTGCTGGGCTCAGGCGATCATTCTACCTCAGTCTTCCAAGTAGCTGGAACCACACAACCACTCTTGGCTAATTTTTTATTGTAGAGTCGGGATCTCACCAAGCTGCCCAGGCTGGTCTTGAACCCCTAGACTCAGGCAATCCTCTCACCTCGGCCTCCTAAAGTGCTGGGATTATAGGCTTGAGCCACTGTGCCCGGCCTGTTTTCATTTCTTATAACCATATAGCTCAGGAAATTTTATTAGCTCTCATATTTAGTTTTCCTGAAGTAAATCAAGCATGGCAAACTAATACGAATGAGGGGGGTACCCAAAAATCCTGGAATTTTTTGGAAGGTAGGCCCCTTATACTGTAGGCTTTCCCCACTAGATAAGTGTTCTAGGAATCCATTGGCATCAATGTACCAGCTAGTATTGTGAGAGACTGTGTTTGGCTTCAGTGAATCTTTTTTGGAGATATTTCAACGTGTTTGCCCATTTCATGTTGGATGATTTACAAGTGCACCTGTCTACACCACGCTGAATGTTCGTTCAGCAGTTTTGGACTAAAAACAGCATGATCCTTGTGCCTCACCCTCTGTATTCATCCTATCTCTCCCAAAGCGACTTTTGTTTTCCCTGATGAAAAAAGGCCTCAAAGGGAAACGTTTTCCCAATGTGGAAGAGGTGAAACAAAAAACAGCAGAAGGACTAAGAGGCATCAAAATTGACGAGTTCAAAAAATGTTTTGAGCAGTGGAAAAAGCGTTTTGATAGGTGTATTGCATCAAACGAAGAGTACTTTGAAGGTGACTTAAGTTTAAACATACGCAATTTTTTATAAGTTCCAGGTTTTTTGATCCTCCCTCTTATTCTTATTCTGTCCTATTTAAAGTTTTAATCATTTTCCAAATATGCTGAGCTTATTTTTATTTTTATTGTTTTTGAGTTGGAATCTCACTCTGTTGCTCAGGCTGGAGTGCAGTGGCGTGTTCACAGCCACCCTAGCGTCGACCTGCTGGGCTCAGGCGATCTTTCCGCCTCAGCCTTCCAAGTGGCCAGAAGTACAGGTGCACACTACCACACCCAGCTAATTTTTTGATTTGATGTAGAGATGAGGTTTTGTCAAGTTGCCTAGTCTGTTCTCGAACCCGTGGGCTCAGGCAATCCCCTCTCCTCGGCCTCCCAAAATGCTGGGATTACAGGCTTGAGCCATTGCACCTGGCCTGAGGTTATGTTTTTTTCAAACTCTTAACATTTTAATTTTTCCATTATTGAAAAAATAAGTGAAATTTCAATATGTTTGTGTTCAGTTTATCAAAAATTTATTGGAGAATGGCTAAGCACTATGCCAGGTGCAAAGACTATGAGTAAGATGTATTAAGTCTAATATCTGCTTTCGGCTTGCTTACTTTTGGGGGAGGGAGGGGGATAAGCAGACATGTAAGTGTAAATATGAGGAAAGTGTGAAAAGTAATTATGCTATCCATTCAATGAGGGGGGCTGCAAATATTAATTGTTTTAAAATATGAGTTAATGCCACAGTGGTTGATCAGCTATTGAAATGTTTAACACGTTTAATAATTTGTGTTATGACTTAACTGGGTGTCTTTTTTTCTTGTTAAAATCTATGCTAGTCTAGGTGGTTATATTTTTTTCAAACACACTGAGAAAAAATTTTAAGTTGTCCCTATTTTTTAAAATTTATTTTTATTCTTTAGAAACAGAAAATGTTCTGATGGCACCTGTGTATGAGTGTTGGTCTTTTGATTGTGTGTTTAGTGAGAATCTCCTTAGGATTAATAAAAATCTAAACTTCTCTTCTGCGCTGATTTTTCTGCATCTGGTGAATGGAAGTCTATCTGATCAGGCTGTTGTCTGGGTTGTACAATCATCAGCTTTGGGTGATAAAATGAAATCAGATCATTCTTGTGGAAATTATTTTTACATCTTTGGAAATGCTATAGCTAGCAGGTGCCAAAAGATCTTCATTTATGATATACTGAATTAAGAGAAGGTCAGCTATACTAGATTTTCAGTAATGGTGGATCACGATATTTATTCCCTCCTAATTTTTTCTCCTAAAAAGTACATTTTTTTGAAATGTATTTTCCTTACATTTCCATTTTTAATGTTTAGTGTTTTTTCATTAGCAACATCTATAGATTGCTGTTGCACCTAGAGTATTTTTAGTAACTGAATAGCAACCAACCAGATTTCAAGTAGTTGTTTTCTTTGCAGTGGTGGTTCTGTGTATAACTTGTATACAAATGAGGATGAAGAAATTGAGCCTTCTCCTTCTGGGCAACAGATAATTGAAAATTCAATAACTATGAATAAGATGAAGCTGTTGAAGACTAAGATGGAAAACATGAATCTCAGCAAAAAGGTGACACTGTTGGCACTTGACCAGGCTTTCTCTAGCTTACCCTGTGGGGCTCACCGCAATGAGATCTGTTGGTAATTGTGAAAAAAAAATTATAAAGTATTTTTCATTTTAAGTTTCTGGCCTCAGTTATTTGCTGAAATATTAAAAGTGATAATTTTTTTTTTTTAAGACTAGCAACACATCTGAATGGATTATACTGCACTTAAAATAATTTATGATGAAAAAAATCATAGTTCTAGGGCTAAGAAGGATTAAAAAGATAGCTTAAATTTAATCTTTCAATAATTACTTTTTGAAATAATAGGTTAATATTTACTTATTATGGATTAAAAAACGATTACATTCAGTTTTAGTAGATATTGTCAGTTTTCCAAAGTGATTCCAAAGTGATGAACCAGTTTACATCCTTTCCAGAAATGAGAGTTGCTGTTTTTCGACATGCTAGCAGTGATTGGCATGGTCTCCGCCCCCCCCTTTTTTTTTTGAGTTGGAGTCTCACTCTGTCGCCCAGACTGGAGTGCAGTGGCACGCTCCCAGCCACCACAGCCTCAACCTGCTGGGCTCCCTCAATCCTGTCTCAGCCTTCCAAGTAGCCAGGAACTACAGGCGGCGCTACCACGCCCGGCTAGTTTTTGATTTATTGTGGAGATGCGGTCTCGCCAAGTTGCCCAGGCGGATCTCGAACCCTCAGGCTCAGGCAGTCTACTTGCCTTGGCCTCCCAAAGTCCTGGGATTACAGGCTGAGTCACCGAGCCTGGCCTATAGATAACTTTTTTTATTTTTGTAATTCTAGTTGTTGTGTAGTGGCACCACATTGTGACTTTAATTTGCATTTCTCTGATGACTGGGGAAGTTGAGTACCTTTCATATGTATATGGCGTATTTGGATGTCCTTTTTTGTAAAACACCTGTTTAAATCTTTTGCTCATTTTTCTATTGAGTTGTATGTTTTTTGGTATGAATTGTTTTGGAGCTCTTTATATATTCTGGATACAAGTCCTTTGTCATATATGTGTATACACACACATATCCACTATATTGCTTTCCTTTTCAATATATTATTGACTCCTTTCCTTTTCATATATAATAAAATTCACAAATTTTTAATGTACTGCTTGATGAATTTCTTTCACTCAAGAAGTTTCCCTCATAATCTAGTTGTTGTGCAGTGGCACCACATTGTGATTTTAATCCTAGTGAATACTTAGCTTTTCCCACTATCATTTTTATTCTTACATCTATTGCCATAAATAAGTTTTGCTTGTTCTTAACACTTATATAAGTAGAATCATAGAGAATATACCCCTTTTTGTCTGGTTTGTTTTACTTGACATAATTTTTTTTATTCATCCATGTAGTTGCATGTATCAGTTAATTCTCTCCTATTGCTGTGTACTATTTCACTGTGTGATTTACCTAAATTTGTTTCTCTTTTCTCCTTTTGATGGACATTTGGGTTGTCTCTAGCTTTTGGCTTTTATCAATAAACTTGCTTTGAATGTTTTTATACATTCTTATATATTCTTTGGTGGACATATGCACTCTTTTCTTTGGACATATATGTAGCAGTTGGCTTTGAGTTTATAGGGAAGATACATGTTTAACTTTAGTAGTTATGCAAAATAATTTTGCAAAGCATTTGAACCAGTTTGCACTTTCATCAGCAACATGAGAGTTCTGGTTTATGTCACATCCTTACCAACGGTTGATCTTGTCAGTCTTTTTCATTTAACCTTTCTGATGGCTTGTGTAGTGGTTTTCATTTATATTTCTCTAGTGAGGAATAATGTTGACTTTTGATATGGGTATTGGCCATTAAGATACTGTCTTGGCCAAGGTGCAGTGGCTCAAGCCTGTAATCTCAGCACTTTGGGAGGCATAGGTGAGGGAATTGCCTTAGCCCACAGGTTTGAGAACAGCCTGGGCAACTTGATGAGATCTCATCTCTACAATATTTAAAAAATTAGCTGGGTGTGGTACTGCGCGCCTGTAGTTCCAGCTACTTGGAAGGCTGAAGTGGAAGGATTGCCTGAGCCCAGTGGGTCGACACTAGGGTGGCCATTAGTGTGCCACCGCACTCCAGCCTGGGCGACGGAGACTCCAACTCAAAAAAAAAAGATACTGTCTTTTGTAAAGTGCCTTTTCAAGTCTTTTGCTTATTTTTAAATTTGGTTACCTGCCTTTTGCTTATTAATTTCTAGGCATTTAAATACTATGGATACAAGTTCTTTGTCAGATGTATAATTTGCAGGTATTTCTAACACTGTGGCTTGTTTCACTTTCTCATTCTTTTGGTGAATGCTTTAACTTTTTTTTTTTTTTTTTTTGAGTCAGAGTCTCACTCTGTCACCCAGGCTGGAGTGCAGTGGCTCACTGCTCAGGACCACCACAGCCTCAACCTGCTGGGCTCAGGTGATCCTTCTTTTTCAACCTTCCAAGTAACTGGAACTACATGCATGTGCCACCACATTTTGGCTAATTTTTTTGGATGTATTGTAGAGATGAGGGCTCACCAAGTTGCCCAGGCTGGTCTTGAACTCCCCAAAGTGCTGAGATTACAGGAGTGAGCCACCGTGCTCGGCCTAATTTTTTATTTTATTTTATTTTGTGAGTTGGATTCTTTCTGTCACTCAGGCTGGAGTGCAGTGGCTCGCTGCTCATGGCCACTGCATCCTCGACCTGCTGATCTCAGGCAATCCTTCAGCTTTAGCCTTCCAAGTAGCTGGAACTACAGGCATGCACCACCACACCCAACTAATTTTTAAAATTTATTGTAGAGACGAAGTCTCACCATGTTATCCAGGCTGTTTTCGAACTGGTGGGCGCAGGCAATCTTCTTGCCTCCGCCTCCCAAAGTGCTGGCATTACTGGCGTTTTTAATTTATCAATTTTGTTTATATGGCTATTACTTTTTATAACCTTTTGATAAAATGTTTTCCTACCACAGACCTTAAAGTTTTATGACTGTTTCTCATTTAGATCTATATAGTCCATCTGAAATTTTGTTGATATAATGTAAAGTAGGATAAAATCTTTTTTTTCCTCAGATGAATGAACTAACTCTAATAAGAAAAAAATCCTTTTCCCACAATGTTAAATGTTTATGCACCTAAAACTAGAACTTCAGAACATGTGAAGCAAAAACTACAAAGAGAAATAGAGAGATACTTTTATCCAAAGATTTCATCACTCCCATTCTCAAAAAATTGATAGACCATATAAACAGAAAATCAGGAAGAGTATTAGAAGACTTGAACCAACGCTATTAACCTACTTGACCCAATTGACATTTACAGATCTAGATCTTAATGACAATTCTATTTTTAATTTTTTTGTGGCCTCGCACAATGGCTTAAACCTGTAATCCCAGCACTTTAGGAGACAGATGCAGAAGAATCACTAGAGCCCAACAACTAAAGACCACTCCGGGCAACATAGTGAGACTTGGTCTCTACAAAAATAAAAGAGTTAGCCCAGCATGGTGGTGGGCACCTTGTAGTTCAAGCTAGTGGGGAGGCTGAGGTGGGAAGATAGCTTGAGTCCAGGAGGTCAAAGCTGCAGTGAGCTGGGACTGCACCATTGCCCTCTAGCCTAGGCAACAAAGTGAACCCTGTCTCAATTTTTAATTTAGTTGGGAAACACCATATTGTTTTTCACAGTGCCATGTTACATTTAGGATGGATTTTCCTCAGCAAAAAGTAAAACTTTAGTAAAAAAGTGCTGTCAGGATATTGATAGGGGTTGTATTAAATCTATAGATCTTTTTGGATATTATTAGTGACAGCTTTTTTGACTAATGGCTTATTTAAAAGTGGGCTCCTTAGTTTCCAAACAAGGAGCGACTTTGTACACCTTTGAAAGTAACTGAGGTTTGACTTGTGGCTAAGCATACTGATAAATGCCACCAAAAAGACTGTGTATTCTGTCATTGTATAGAGTAGTCTATCTATATCAGATCAGGTTTGTTAATTGTGTTGCTCATATCTTCTGTATTCTTTCTGATTTGTTGGAGTTTCTTTGGAGGGAGGATGGTTGGTTTTGGTCTGTTTTCTATTAGTTATTGAAAGAGGTATGTTAAAATCTTCTTTGGTTGTGGAATTTGTTGTTTTCCTTTTAGTTTTGTATTTTTGCGACATGTTTTGAAGCTCTGTCATTGGATCTAGTACAGATCTGGAATTGTGATGTCTTCTATGTGGTTTAATACCTTTATTGTTATAAAATATTTTTCTTTATTTCTAGTTATATTCTTGTCTTAAAATCTACTTTGTTATTAGTATAGTGATACAAGCTTTCTTTTGGTTTGTATTGTATATTTTTCAGTTGTGTTACTTACAATCTCTGTTATATGTAAACAACACATGATTGAATTTATTTTTTATCTAAACCAACAAACATTGCTTTTTATTCTACCTACATTTAATGTAATTATTGATAAATATAGATTTTTATTATCTTGCTATTTATTTTCTCTAATCACTCATTTTTATGTTTTATTTTCTCTCCTTTTTGCCCCTTTTTGGATATGCCTATTTATTTGTTATGTAATTTTTGTCCTCCATACTTTTGTTAGTTATATATTCTCATACCGATTTCTTTTCTTGGTTCCCATACAAATTACAAGGTACATCCTTGACTTATTTTATAATCTAATAAAAATGATTTCTATCACTTTCCTATGATAGTAGAATCTTAGAACATTAATTCCACTTATACCTCCAAACACCTTTTGTGTCATTGTCTTGCATTTTAATTTATATATTTTAAACCCCTCAAATTATTTTGTATTGTCAATCAATATTCAGTTATTATTTTATGTTTACCCAAATATTTACCTTTTCTCTTGTTTTTTTTTCTTTCCTACAGTTAGATGCTTCCTTCAAGGACTATTTTTCTTCTGTCTGAATTATTTCTTTTAGTATCCTTTTTAATTTAGGATTCCTGACAACGAATTCTCTCAGTATTTGCATGAAAACTTACTTTTTTATCCTTTTTAATCTTGAAAAATGTTCAATTCTTCCGAAATGTTTTTTTTTGTTTGTTTGTTTGTTTTTTGAGTTGGAGTCTCACTCCGTTACCCAGACTGGAGTGCAGTAGCCGCTCCTGGCCACCGCAGCCTTGACCTGCTGGGCTCCGGCGATCCTTCCGCCTCAGCCTTCCGAGTAGCCGGAATTACAGGCGTGCGCTACCATGCCCGGCTAATTTTTTTTTGATTTATTGTAGAGATGAGGTCTCGCTGCCCAGGCGGGTCTCGAACCCCCGGGCTCAGGCCATCCACTCACCTCAGCCTCCCAAAGGCACGGGATTACAGGCTGAGTCACCGAGCCCGGCTCCGAAATGTTTTAAGACTAGTGTAGTGAACACCTGTTTGCACTTTACTTATATTTATCAATTAATATTTTCCCACATTTGCTTTATCTTCTTCTTCTTCTTCTTTTTTCTGGTGGATCCTTTTGAGAGTCAGTTTTAGAAATTGTGAAAGTTCCCTTAAATACTTCATTCAGCATGCATCTCCTAAGAATAAGGGTCACCTCCTACATGACCACAGTACAATTACCACACTCAATGTAGTTTATCATTGCTGTACATTGTCATCTATATTCATATTTCCCAGGTCTCTAATGTACTTGATAGCATTTTGTATTGTTTTGTTTTGTTTTTTTATTTGGGGCATACAAATAATTTTGGTCTAGGCTTTAAGTGTGCCCACTACCCTCAACTATGCACATTGTACTCATTGTACATATTGTTTCATTTTCATTCTCTGGGATCCAATTTAGAAACACACATTGCATTTAGTTGTAATATTTTCAAAGTCTCCTTTTATACAGAACTGTTTCTTAGCCTTATTTGAACATTCATGTCAGATGTTTTTGAAGAGCATAAGCCAGTTGTTTTGTAAAATATCCCTTAATTTGGAGATTTGTCTGTTAGTTTCATTATGATTAGATGCAGTTTAAACAGTTTTGGTAGGAGTATTACACAAATAATGCATTCTTATTGCAGTACATCAGGAGGCACATAATTTCATTTTATCATCTTTTCATTTTTTTCTTTTAGAATATTTTCAGTTTCAGTTGATATTTTCCCTTTAGTCCAAGAATTGTTTAATAGATTTTGAAAATTTTCTAGGGATAGAGACTTTTTCTTTTTCTCCTTTCTTTCTTTCGTTTTTTTTAGGGATGGGATCAAGGGATCCTTCTACCTCAGCCTCCCAATTAGTTGGTACCACCATGCATGACTTGATTTTTCATTGTTTTAAACATGGAAATCAGAGAATGCTATTTATTTATTTACGTTTTTGGGGGGTCTCACTCTGTCACCCAGACTGGAGTTCAATGGCACAATCACAGCTTCCTGCAGCCTTGACCTCTTAGGCTTAGGTAACCAACCCTTCTGCCTCAGCCTCCTGAGTAGCTGGAACTATAGCCACATGCCACCACATATGGCCGGTTTTCACATTTTTTTGTAGAGATGAGGTCTTGTCATGTTGCCTTGTCTGGTCGCTAACTTCTGGGCTCAAGTGATCCTCTGTCTTGGTCTCACAAAGTGCTGGGATTACAGGTGTGAGCAACCATGCCTTTCCTCAGTAATTTTCATTAAATGAAGTATAATCTAGTCTCCTTTGGGCACCTTGTCAATTAATTTTCATTTCTGACATCGGTTTTGTTTTCTGCATAGTATTTCTGGATTTGATCAGCTCTCATTTCACATCTTTTTTTTTTTTTTTGTCCATTGTATCTTGAGTTTTTGGATTTATGGTTTTATGTGACTTAAAAAATTCTGCAATTAGCTGGGCATGGTGGTGCATGCCTGTAGTCCTAGCTACTTGGAAGGCTGGACAAGGAGGATCACTTGAGCTCAGGAGTTTGAGTGTGCAATGAGCCAAGATTGTGCACAGCACTGTAGCCTTTGGTGACAGAGTAAGACCCTATCTTTAAAAAAAAAAAAAAAAAAAGCCAGGCACCGTGGCTCATGCCTGTAATCCCAGCACTTTGGCAATTGGAGGCGAGTGGATTGCCTGAGCCCAGGTGTTTCAGACCAGCCCAGGCAGCTTGGTGATACCTTGTCTCTACAATAATCAAAAAAATTAGCCAGGTGTAATAGTGCACACCTGTAGTTCCAAGCTGTTTGGAAAGCTGTAGTTCCAGCTACTTGGAAGCCTGAGCCCAGCAGGTCAAGGCTATGGTAGCAGTGAGCATGCCTCTGCACTTCAGCCTGGGTGACAGAGTAAGAAAGAAAGAAAGAAAGAGAGAGGGCTGGGGAGGGAGAGGAGGAGAGGGGGAGAGGAGGAGGGAGAGAGGGAGGGAGGGAGAGAAGGAGAGAGGGAGAGAGAAGAAAGTAAAAGAAAAAATTGCAAATACTAATTTAAAGATATTTAACTTAGGTTGGTGTATCGTGAAAGTTTTATTTTGCTTCATTGTTTTGGGGACAAATTTGCATTTGCTGAAATGTTCTAATTCTTATTTTTATGACCTTTTTATGGATTTGGTCTGCCATTTTGTGTTTATTTTCTGATTTTATTTTTCATAATTTTATTTACTCAGATGTATGAACATATGTTAATACATGGAAGTATTTGTGTATGGAAGTAGGTTTCTTATTTTAAGAGCACCTTCTTATGTTGATATAGTGAAATTCAGTTTTTTAAATCAATGGCACTCCTATTGGAAGGCAGGGTCAATGTATTTTCTGACTTGTACTTCGCTTTTGTTTTTCTAGGTTCCATGCCTTCTTCTTTTGATTTTTTCTTTACCTTCATCATCAGTTCTCAAAGGATGCCTTTTCCTTTCAGTTTACTCCTCAACCCCCAAAAGTCGTACCTTCTTAGAACTATCCCCTTGGATCCTGAACAGTTTTTCCTTTTAATTTCTTAGTAGTCAATGTTTGATGTCCCAGATCTTAGGACTGTTTTCAATATTTTCATAATCATATGGGATTTTCTCTTTTGTGGGCTTATTATATGTCTCCCAGTTTTGCTGAAGGCATGGGTTATGAGTGATTTTATTTGTTTATGTTGTTGATTTTTGTGGTTATTTGGAGTGTATGTGGAAAAATTCTGATCTAGGCTTTTGCCATTAATCTCTACAGCTCAGAAGTCATACCCTTCATTTTTGAAAAATATTTTTTGCTGGATATAGAGTTGCAGATTGACAAGACAATGACCTTAGGATAAAAGCAGATATAGGAACCAGCTCATTTTTTTCAAGATTCTTTCTTCTTAGCTCCTCTTAGTTTTCCTTGCTCAACTGGTATCCACTGAATTATCTGACTTTTCTTATAAGTGGGAACGTTGGTGTGTCATCAGATATTCTATCCCAGCCCGATGCCTGCTGGCTACTATTTTGTTTATGTTTAAGAGCTAAGACTTCTTATCCTTAGTTCTCAGTTTTCTCCCTAAGATCATGAATTTTTATGATAATTTTATCAAAACCTGCTGTGCCAGAGGGCCACAGTCTACCCCAATTTGCTAGGAAGATTCACAGGAATACAGTATATTATATATAGTTGTACTTATTGCTAGGATTTTTTACAGCAAAAAGATAAAAGCAAACTCAGCAAAGTGAAAAGGTTCATGGAGCCAGTTCAGAGAAAACCAGGCACAAACTTCTTAGAGTCCTCATTCAGTAGAGTGTCATAGGGCATGCTTAATTTTTCTGTCAATGAGTTGTGGAAACACATATGAAATGTCCATAGGGAAGCTCATGAGAGATTCTGTGCCTGGAGTTTTATGGGCCTGTTCATATAGACTCCCTATGCCTAGCATGTACATTTCAGATTTGCAGAAGGAAGGCAGGTGCTCAGTATAAACCATATTTTTGCACCAAAAGTTTAGGTACAACGAGCCACTCTGGCCATTTAGGTTCATGGAAACCTTCCTGAAGTGTAAGTTCCTGGAAGTCAGCTAAGGGCCAACCTTGCAAGCAAACCTTTTCAAGGATAGAAATTTGGGCCTATCTCTTTTATTTATTTATTTTTTTGTATGGCCTATTAACTCTTTGTCTGCATACCAACCTAATGAAAAACATATTCATCCTACTAGAAAAAACTGTTGAGGATTTAAAAATAGGTCAAACAACATCATACTAATATAATCAGTTCATTTTCTTCTCAGTAAAACTCAGAAATATCAATAGTGAGGAAAATAAATAAAATGAAATTTTTCTTTAACATTCTCAGAAAATTATAGTCAATAAAGGAAGATAGCAAAATTCTTAACAATTATAATCTTAAGATTTTATTCTTTTTGAACCTTTTTAAATTGAGGTAGTAAAAATGTCAGTATGCTATGGTAAGTAACACTTTCTTCTTTCATTAAGTTTTGTTAATGGGCAGAAAACATGACTATGTAAAGAAATTATATATTCACTCTTTTCTTTTAGCCTAAGAAAGCTGTCAAGGTAAAACCTCGCCCACCTATAGCTCCTCGACCTTCTAGTGGTTCCACAACAGCAGCTCGCCACAGACTATTAAGGGTTCTCCCGCACATCGGGCAATCTTGTTTACCGTCTTCTGGGAATGCATATCTACCTGAAACATCCAAGAATGCAGTTTCAAGTTTGGCAGCTCAGCCCTTTGCTGATAGACCCGTATCATCTATCACTAGTGAATTTCTAAAGGAAGATGGTAACTGGAATAATAACACACTGTCTCATTCCAATAGTGGCATCAAACTACCACCTCAGATACCCCATATGGAGTTTGAAAATGGCAAAGAGCTTGCTGATTCTGTTTTCCATCTTGGATCATCCTTGCCTAGACGGACAAAACACTTTTCAGGAAGCCTGACATCTAATAGTGAGGATGACACTGTCTTATTTCCAACTCAGAACAGTTTGTAACTGAAGAATCACTTCTACCTGAAGTGGGTTCATTTGCTTTATTTACAGAAGTAAATGCTGATGAACAACACAGTGGCTTAGAAGGTACACGGAAGGTAAATCCAGAGTTCTTACTTCCTAATGGTGATAAAGGGTTGGAAGCTACAGAGCAGCATCTTAAACGTGTTACAAAAATGTTGAATGGTGAATCAGTAGAGACTGCAGTTCTTAACCCTCGTGAATTAAGTCCTCACAAGAATAGACTCTTGTCACCTCTTTGGTTTTCTGCACCAATATCACTACATAATTCTCTGGTGAAACAACAGAGACAGTCCAAATGTTTTGAGTCTGGGAACCTCGAATCTTCTGCTTCACAAAATGTGCTCCGGTCATTGGATTTTCGAAACATAACTGATTCTTCTTTCTCTAGGACTCCTCGCTTTCAAGGTGTTAAAGTTGATTCACCTGGGAAAAGATCTGATATTATTTCCAAAGTTGAGGCTAGGGATATCACAGAAATGGCTAACAAGGCTTCCAGAGAGCCTGTTGGTTGTGTAAATAGTATTGGTTTTCTTGCTTCACTGGCCCGGAACACAAACAGAGATAGTTTACAGAGAACTCGTGGAGCAGGCAGGCTTCGGACCCCTGGAATTGGGCTGTCTACAAACCACCAGCATTTTCAGGAAGAAAGTCTTAGGAAAAGTTCTCCCCGGGTAGAACCTACAGAATTTTTTCTAGTAAGTATTTTCCTTTCAACATAATCTGCTACAAAATAAGCCTGCAGTAGGGTTATTTTCATACATTTCTCTGAAAATATTTATCTAGCTTGTAGAAAATCTTTTTGATGGTTGGATTTTAAATAATGTCTTAGACCTGAATTGAGAAATATAATTTGAAAATAAGTTCATATAAACAGTTTGTCATATATATATATAATTATTATTACATATGTATACCTTATTTTTTAAGAAATGGGATTTTGCTTTGTTGCCCAGGCTGACCTCAAACTTCTGTGCTCAAGCAGTCCTCCTGCCTCAGCCTCCTGAGAAGCTGAGACTATAGGCATTTGCCACCATGCAAAGCAGTATTATTTTTATTTCACTTTTTTGGTTTTTTTTTTTTTTTTTTTAGAGACAGAATCTCACTCTGTTGCCTAGGCTGGAGTACAGTGGCATGATCATAACTTACTGTAACCTTGAACTCTTGGCCTCAAACAGTCCTCATGACTTAGTCTCCTGAGTAGCTAGGGCTATAGGGATGCATGCACTACTACGTCCAGCTAATTTTTTAAATTTTTGGTAGAGATGGGGTTGCTTAGTGTTGTCTCAGGCTGATCTCAGACTCCTGGCCTTAAGCACTTCTTCCACCTCAGTTTCCCAAAATGCTGAGATTGTAGGTATGAGCTATTGTGCCTAGTCTTATATTTTTAAATGCTAAATATTGTAAATGTTTTTTCCAGGTCAGAATTATATTTGAGTCATCAAATTTTACTCTCTTAAAGATGAAATAATAAGTACAATGTTGCTAGTTGTGAGAATAAACTTCCAAGTTAATTTTATTAAGCAAAAATTAGATTAAATAATTAAAAATGAAAGTTCAACCAGTAGCTTAGGAATAAAATACAAGCATGTCATGTTTTGTGATCACTTCTATTTTCTATTGACTCACCTCTGTAGATGTTTTGTGTTTTAATTTTAGTCTGCTCGTGGTATTGGAATGCATGGAAATAATGCATCAGCAGGGAAAAGAGTAGGTAAGATACAGATATATTGAAAACAATATAAGCCTAATAATCACATCATTATGCATGTTGAATTTTCAAAGAGAAATGGAGAGAACATTCTCTATGGTCTATACAAAGTAAACTTTCTAAATGTTTTTCTAATTAGGAAAATGACTGTAAGAACTGATTTATTTTGGACATGTCTGAAGAATAAAACAAAAATTGAAATAGAAATATTTTGTCTTGGGAGAGGTATGATCTGTGTCGAAAACCAAGATTACTGACAAATGACTATGTAGTTCCCAACCTCCTCAGTCACTGGTCACTCTAGAGCCATGTGGGTTTTGAGGAATGACCCTAGAAAGGTGTTTTTTAGCATCATGGTCCAATATCAAGAAGGGTATGGTTATAATGAACTGATCATTTCTGGATAAAAGAAAGGGACAATCTCTAGTACCTGTACTTTCCAAAGTATAGTAGCAGAAGTGAATATAACGTTAACACTTCCTTCTACCAGTATAGTAACACTTGAAGGATACACTGGCCAGTTATTATTTTCAAGGAGGAGGGAAACCATCTTTTTTAATGTTTAATACCCAGACCAAGGATGGGAAACTCACTATCAAAGATGTGCCACCTTTGTAGCCCCAAGATTTTAAATGATACTTTATATATTATGGTTGTCATGTGAGCTTTATGATTTTTTAAAGAGAAACTTTATAGAGTTTTTCATTCCTACATAAGACTCAAGTTTATAAAGTCTTAATCTATCCCCTTATTTTTTCAAAATTTTTATTGTGATAAAATAGACATAACATAAAATTTACCATCTTAATCATTTTTAAGTGTACAATTCAGTGACTTCAAGTACATTCACATTGTTGGACATGCATCACCAACATCTTTCTCCAGAAGGCTTTTCATCTTGCAAAGCTGAAATGCTGGGCTCATTAAAAACTAGCTCGTACTCCCCCCTTCCCCCAGCCCTTGGTAACCACCCTTCTCCTTTCTGACTTTATGATTCTTAGATATTCTAAGTACCTCATATAAATGGAATCATACAGTATTTGTCTTTTTATAATTAGTTTTCTGTACTTATCAGAATGTTCTCAAGGTTTATCTGTGACATTTCTTCCTTTTTGTGGCTTGTACTCCATGGTGTGTGTATGCCACATTTTGCTTATTCATTCATCTGTTGTGTTGCGTCCATGTTTTAGATATTGTGAAGAATGCTGCTATGAACATGGATGTATAAATATCTTTTCAAGACCCTGCTTTTAATTCTTTTGAGTATATACCCAGAAGTGAAATTACTGGACCATATGGTATTTCTGTTTTTAATTTTTTAAGGAAACTTCATTTTTTTTCCACAGTTGCTATGCCATGTTACATTTCTACCAACATTGTACAAGGATTCTGATTTCTCCACATCCTTGTAAACACTTGTTATTTTCTGGGTTTTTTTTGCTAGTAGCCATCCTAATGAGTATAAAGTAATATGTCGTTGTGGTTTTGATTTGCATTTCTTTGATGATTAGTGATTCCCTAATTAGTGAAGTTGATTCCTAATGAGTAATTTCATGTACTATTTGGCCATATCTTCTTTGGAGAAATGTCTATTCATGTTCTTTAACCATTTTTTAATCAGGTTGGATTTCTTGGTTGTTGTATTTTAGGGGTTGTTCACATATTCTGGATATTAATCCCTTATCATATAAGTGCTTTGCAAAATTTTCTCCCATTCTGTGAATTACTTGTTTACTCTTTTGATAGTATATTTTGATGCACAGAAGTTTTTAATTTGCATGAAGTCCAATTTGTCTGTTTTCCTCTATTACCTGTACCTTTGTTGTCATAGCTAAGAAATCACTGCCAAAGCTAATGCCATGAAGCTTTTTCCCTGTTTTCTTCTAGAAATTTTCTCGTTTTAGGTATAATGCTTAGGTCTTTGATCTATTTTGAGTTCATTTTGTACATGTTGAAAAGTAAGGGTCCAACTTCATTCTTTTGCATTGGACATCCCATTTTCCCAGTATCTTTTGTTGAAAAACTATCCTTTCTATTGAATGGCCTTGGCACTCTTGTTGAAAGTCATTTGACCATATATGTGAGAGTTTGTTTCTGGGCTCTGTATTCCATTGATCTATGTGTCTGTCTTGTGCCAGTACCACATTGTTTTGATTAATGTAATTTATCTACTTACAATGCTATAGTTGTTTTTCCTTGACATATGCTCAGGTCTGTCCTGTTCTAACTCACAGCTAATCCTCTTGGAAATTTTCATTGCGCCCATCTCTACTTGCTCAGCTCTAGTACAGGCTCCAGTGCTTCTAGTGCTTCTTCACCTCTGTTCTCACTGCTGAAACTGCTATCAATGAAGTCACTGAACATTGTCATCATTTTAAATTCAATAGATGCCTCTGTATCTTTATCTTACTTGATTTTTGTGGTGGCCCTCATTCTTTAGTTTTGTTTTCTCCCTCTCTCCCTCCTTCCCTCCCTCCCTCCCTCCCTTCCTTCCTTTCTTCCTTCCTCCCTCCCTCCTTCCCTCCTCACGCTTCCTTCTTTCCTTTCTTTCATGTTATTTCTTCCTTCCTTTCTTTTTTCCTTTCTTTCATGTTCTTCCTTCCTTCCTTTCTTTCTTTTTCTCTGATAATAACTCACTGGATCCTTGAACTCATGGGTTCAAGCAATCCTCCTGCCTCAGCCTCCTGAGTAGCTAAGATTACAGGCATATGCCATCATGCCTGGCTAATTTTTAAAATTTTTTTTAGAAACAGGGTTTTGCTATGTTGCACAGGCTAGTCTCAAACTCCTGGCCTCAAGCAATCCTTCTGCCTGATGAGATTACAGGCTCTAGCCACCACACCTTTTTTGTTATACACTTTCATTTTGGTTTTCTTTTTTCCTCCTCTTTTTAAATTTCTGTTTTCTTCTTTATCAGCTCTTTGCTTCTCCCCAGATATACACTCTTTTTGTTTGATTTAATTTGGGTTCAAGGCATCAGGTAGCTACCTACAATGATGATTCCCCAAAGTAGAACTATGTAATGTGATGCCATTTCCTCTCACAGTAATAACTATCATTCTGAATTACCTAAAAGAGTCTTTGTAAGTTTTATTTAATTGACTTACTAGATTACTTTATTGGTCCTCTTTTCACTATAGGGTCCCCCTTGGAAACTTTATTCTCATCGTTTTAGCTATTGTTTTTAGGCAGATAAATACCAGCCTTGCATCTGGAACACTAATTTTTTACTCTTTGACTGCCTTTCTGTTGGGTTAGTTTTTATGGATCACTGTGTTAGATAAAATATTAGACTAGGAAATGCCCAACAAGTGAAACTCTATCTTTCATCTTACTCTGAAAGCAGCTCTTCACATCAAGTTCATTTTGTGGAAATTTTCTTTATTCATGTATTCGATATACATCTGAGAGAAGGCTTCAACAGAAGAGTTTATGATGATGTTTTATAGGATAAGCGAAATTTTACTAGGTTGACAAAATGGAGTGTTTTAAAAGAAGAGATTGCAAATGTGAATGGGACATCATTCAGGGTAGGTATGATGTGGTAAATAACAGGAAGTGATTCTGGAAAATTAGAAAGGTATTACATTGGACATAAGACCTTGAATGCCAGTCCAAGGAATTTGAATTTTTCCTGTTGATAGTAGGAAACTAATATATTAGTGGTGGTTCCTAGCATGGAGTGGGTGACTAATAAATCATTTTCTCAGAATGGGTAGAAAGATATATGGAAGTCATTCCCATAAGAGATGCTGCAGTCATTTTTTGTGCCTCCTCATTTCTGTTACTAATGTGCTCTCTGTCTCTGCACATTCACAAGAGTTCTTCAATTAAAAAAAAAAGTTTGGAAAACATTGAGTTAAGCATCTCTAAAGGAAATTTTTAAAAAGTGTAACTGCACTGAGCTAAATTATTATCAACAGGTTCTTCTACTACTGTTTAAGAAAGAATATCTTAAGCCTGAATTTCAAAGATAGTTTCAAGTAGATGAACTTCCATTGGATATGCTGTAATATATGCCTTCATTCTGTGTCCTGTGCAAGTGCTTATCTTTTTTTTTTTATAAATATTTTAAGACGTGGAATTTTGTGAAATGTTCTTGGTACCTCTAAATGTACTTGAGAAAGAAAATTCTTATTAACAAAGTTGGTACCTAGGCACCATTGGGAATCATTCAATTAGTTGTTTCAAATTTTGTTTCCAGTTTTGTGCAAGATCTGGCAGTGTATTTTAGACTGATAATAAACTTAATTTTCATGGGCTTGAATACTGAGCATCTGATAAGGGTTGTGACAAAAGACACAGTACCAATTAATTGTAAATCCAAATTTGAACCACTGAAGGATTTTCAGAGACTTTTAACTGCTGAATAAACATTTAGCTCAACTCTCCCAAACCTTTTTCAGTAGTGAAGAATAGGTGCCAGTACCATTGACCCTGCCATTTCTTCCCTATTCTTTCCACTTGTTCTTGCTTTCTTTCTTTTGCCTCTCACTTCTTGGCCTTTAGTGCCACCAAGCACTTGTGTATCATACTATTATTTTGACAACTATGTACAGTAAATTTGAGCCTCCCTGCTTATGCCTGGGGTTTGTTGGCATTTTGGTCAGTTCTAAGAGAAAATTCACTTAATAACTAAAGAAATTGATGTACTTCTTTCTTGTATAATAACAGATGTGCTCTCTTTTAAAAAAAAATCAAGTTGTTATAGTACAGAATTTAGTAAATATTTTTTTGAAAGCTGGTAGTACTGTGAAATTGAACTCTATACTATAGACTAAATAACATGACATTTTATATAATTATATATCATATTTAAAACTTTCAGAGTGCTTTTTACATATGTGAACTGATTTGGAACTTAAATCACTTAGTAACCTAGGGAGAAAAATAAATGATATTATGTCTCTTTTTTTTCTTTTTCTTTTTTTTTTTGAGTTGGGGTCTCACTCTTGCTCAGATGGACTACAGTAGCATGATTACAGCTCACTGTAACCTTGACCTCCTGGACTTAGACTATACTTTTGTCTCAGCTGGAACTACCAATGTGCACCATCTACCTGACTAATTTTCTGATTTTTTTTTTTTTTTTGTAGAGATGAAGTCTTGCTATGTTGCCTAGGCTGCTCTTGAACTCCTGGGCTCAAGAGATCCTCTCACCTTGACCTCCCAAAGTGCTGGGATTACAGGCATGAGCCACGATGCCTGGCCTAAATATGATTTTGAACCAGACAGTTTTCTTGATTCTCTGTCAAAGTTTGGTATATCTTATAAATACTGTTATTAGAAATCATCAGAAAAGTGGTGTGTATAAAAAGTCCTAAAAATGTAACTCAGTAGAAACCTATCACATTTAAAATAAAATTAAAAAAGCACCTCTATTGCAACTTCACTTGTAGGTTTTGTAAATAATTTTATTTTTTTATTTTAGAGTTGTGGGGTAAATGTGAGGATTTACTAAATAAGTAAATTTTATACTGGTCAGGTTTGGTCTTCTGTCGAACTCTCTCTCCCCCTGATGGTGAACTTTCTACCCAGTGTGTGACTGTGTGCCCCTTATCTCTCCACCCCTCCCATCTTTAGCAGTGTCCAGCATCTGTTACCTTCACCTTTGTGCTTATTGTCCAGTAATCAGGGCCTGCTTGTGAGCCAGAACATGTGGTATTTGATTTTTTGTTTTGTGATAGTTCACTTAGAATGATGATCTCCTGCTGCATCCATGTTGCTGCAAAGGACATGATTTTGTTCTTCTTTATGGCTGTTTAGTATTCCATTGTGTATATGTACTACATTTTCTTTTTCCAGTCTACTTTTGATGGACATCTGGTTTGGTTCCATGTTTTTGCATTTGTGAATAATGCTGCAGTGACTATATAGGTGCATGGTCTTTTTATGTTGCTATGGGTATATTCCCAGATGTGAGATTGTTGCTTCCTATGGTAGCTCAATTTTTAGTTCTCAATTTTTAGAGAAAATGCCACACTGCTTTCCACAAAGGTTGAACTAGCTTACATTCCCACCAGTAGTGTAGAAGCATTCCCTTTTCTCCACAATTTAACCAACATCTGTTCTTTTTTAACTTTTTAATGATAGACGTCCTTACTGGTGTTAGATGATATCTCATTTTAATTTTGATCTGCATTTCCCTGATGATTAGTCAGGCTGAGCATTTTTTCATATGCTGATTGGCTTCTTAAATGTCTTTCTTGAGAAATGTCTGTTCTTGTCCTTTGCCCACTTTTTAATTATTTTTTTTTTCTGTCAGTTTGTGTTTCTTATAGATCTTGGACATTAGGACTTTGTCAGATGCATAGCATTCAAATTTTTTTCCCCATTTTGTGGATTGTCCTTTTACTCTTTTGACTATGTATTATGCTGTGCAAAAACGTTGATTAATTTGGTAAAGTCGCACCTGTCAATTTCAGTGTTTGCTGCATTTGCCTTTGAGGACTTGTCCATGAATTCCTTGCCTACTCCAATGTTCAGGAGGGTGCCCTAAGTTTTCTTCTAAGATTCTTGTAGTTTGAGATTTCACAATTAAACCCTTTATCCATTTTCAATTAATTTTTGTATATAGTGATAGGTAGGGGTCCAGTTTCACTCTTTTGCATGTGGCTAGCCTGTTTTCCTAGTACCATTTGCTAAATATGGTATCCTTTCCCAGTGTTTTTTTGTTGGCTTTGTTGGCTGAAGGTTCATGGGTTTATTTCCAGATTCTCTGTCCTGTTCTATTAGTCTGTGTATCTATTCTTGCACCAGTGCCATGCTGTCTTGGTAACTATAGTCTTGTAGTAGAGTTTAATGTCTGGAAGTGTGATTTTTTTTGGTGAGGATTACTTTAGCTATTCAGGCTCTTTTTGTTTCCATATGAATTTTTGTATTGTCTTTTTTAGGTTTGTAAAAAATGATGCTGGAGATTTGATAGGAATTGTGTTGAATCTGTAGATTGTCTTGGTGATTTCCCACATTTCCCACATCCACAGGTGCTCTCTGTTTCAGATGTGACTGGTGTGGGGAGAAGACTTCCACTATTTTTTTATTTTTATAGAGATGGAATCTTGCTATGTTACCAAACTGGTCTTGAACTCCTGGCCTCAAGTGATCCTCCTGCCTTGTCCTCTTTAAGTGTTGGGATTACAGGCATGAGCCACTGCTCCTGACTAAATTATTTTAGATTTTAAAATAGCACAGATTAATTTTTATGGCACATTTGCTTTGCTAGGGATGCATTTTGTGTTTTGCTTAATAATATTTCACATTTAGGATTTTATGCCTGTGTTAATCAAGGTGTCCTTTCTCTAAACAGGAGAATGTACTAATCACCTGCCACCTGTGAAAGGTCCTATTCCAACAAAGAAGAAAACAACAAATCATTGTTTTCTTTGTGGAAAGAAAACAGGACTGGCTACTAGCTACGAATGCAGGCAGGTTGGCCATCTGAAGAAGCTGAGATGCCTTCTCTGTGGTGACCCAGCTTGGGGATTATGCAAAATAAAAACATAATTTAAATTGGGCACATATAGCCATCATTAAGATGATAATCAAGTAGCAACTTCTTATTGGCTGAAATAAAGAGCAAATAGATAGCTCATGGGTTTCTAACAGGTAAAAACGGAGCCTCCCTGCCCTTTAAATTAGGAGATTTAAACCAAATGAGGAGTGTACCTTCTTCATCTTATGATAAACTTGTTGTTGTTTTTTCTTTTTAACCTTGCCTTGGAAGAACCCTTCCCCCAAGATTCTAATTTAAATTGAACAAAAAATGAATAAATTTAATTTGCTATGAATTTTAACAATTATATGGTACACTTTTATATTAAAATAGATGAATGAGATCTATTCAAAAATTATGAATTTTTTCTTCCTATAATTATTTCTTTTATTAGCATTGATTAATATCCTCCAAGGGTGGTGTATGCTCTTAGGTTGAAACCAGGCATTGAAAAGAACTGCCCTTTTAAAAAAATTTTTATTTATTTATTTTTTATTTTTTTTGAGTTGGAGTCTCCCTCTGTTGCCCAGACTGGAGTGCAGTGGCCACTCCTGGCCACCGCAGCCTCGACCTGCTGGGCTCCGGTGATCTTCCGACTCGGCCTTCCAAGTAGCTGGAACTACAGGCGCGCGCTACCATGCCTGGCTAATTTTTGATTTATTGTAGAGATGAGGTCTTGCCAAGTTGCCCAGGGGGGTCTCGAACCCACGGGCTTAGGCAATCCACTTACCTCAGCCTCCCAAAGCGCGGGATTACAGGCTGAGCCACTGAGCCCAGCGGACTGCCACTTTTTAGAGTGAATTCTGTTCAAATGAAAACAGTTTATCTTGTTGCTAGAAATCGTTTTTAAAAATCCTTTCATGGCATAGTTAGATTTTACATAATTTTCTCATGAGATGGAATTTTTCAGCAATTCAAAGTTCTTTCGGGTTTACTAGGTACAAAAGAAATTGTGGACATATTTACTCATAAAGTTATATGCCCTACTTCCTGTTTCATTCCATGCTGTGGATTCTTTATTATCAACTGTCATATTCATAGAGAATTAACTTGTTTTTTGGGCAGGGTGTTTGTGCTTATTTATGAGTGGTATGGAAATGTCAGTGGTGAAATTGTTAAAGAGAACCAAAGGGCTCCTGTTGAACTATCTAAAGTCAAGCTCCTATCTACCAAGGAGATGAGCCTTTCCTAGAAATGTGACTATTCATGTAAACTTTTTTTGTGCTTTAGATGTGGAAACAACTTCTGTGCATCTCATCGCTATGGAGAAACTCACGGCTGCACCTATGATTACAAGAGTACAGGGAGGAGATACTTGCAGGAGACAAATCCTGTGATTAATGCACCAAAACTTCCAAAAATCTAACTCTTTCTCTGCACCTTACTGTTCTGCCTGAGGAATCGTATTATAATGACAGAAGAAATATCATTTAGACTGCATTATCTTTGTTCGACTCCAAAAGACTTGCCAAATTAACAAAAGCATAGATTGCATACTGTTAGAGAATGAGATTGCTACTGTATTTGACATCTTTATTCTTTGGTGAATCAAAAGTTTTAAAAGTAGTTTAAAAAACTTTACACTACAATGATTTAGCTTTGTTATTGCATGGCTTGTGTTAAGTGTTTTATGTTGGATATTGAGATTTTGTGACACAAATCTTCAAAAGATGTATTTTAGGGAGTTACTATTGAGTGTGTAACCAGGCTTCCACATGTGCAGAAGTGAATAGTCATGTGATGGCTCTGCTCAGATTGAGCATGGTTTTTTCTCTTTTCTTTTTTTCCTTTTTTTTTTGCCAAGGTGGAATGGCTGGAGATTTTTTAAAAAAATCCCTTGTGTGAAAGTTTATTGGATTTACTAGCAAGCTCCTTTTAATTTCAAGCTACTTTTTATAAAAAAAGAACATTTGGTTTTCCAGTTTTTAACAAATATATATTTTGGTTTTTAACACATATATATTACTTCCACATTCAGATTGGGATTCAGATATGTACCCATTCTATAAAACACATCATGTTAATCATAGCATTTTCTTAAAATACTACTTTTTGGATGGTAGTTTTAAAATAGACGTCTCACTTGCCATTAAATACAAAAACTAACTTCATCTTTTAAACATGGCTATATTTAAAACAAAAATCTCACAGCTTGGTTCATTAGCCTTTTCTGTTGAGTACTACTACCAGGAGAAATTAAAATAAATATTCAATTTTATTATGAGTTTGATTATTTGATTATTTACAATAATTCTTTTATAAAACCATTTAATTCAGGTAATCAATAACTTATTCCATTTAGAAAAAATTGGCTATCAATATAAAAGTATGTTTTCAGGATATAATTATTACCGACAGTAAGCTTAGCTGCTCATTGCTTTTAAACTAAAATAAATAAGCACAAGATATAGTGAAGGGAAGGTGATTTTATTCTAAGAGTTGGCAGATGAGGAAATGGCCAGGCTCAGACCTCAAAAAAATCATTTCAGAGTTTTAGACTGAGGATAAGGGTTTAAGAAGAGAGGCTTGGTATGGGAAACAAGCTGGAGTGATAATGGGTGTCTATTGATGTGACTTGTTCGGATGACTATCTCAAGTAACTTTCCATCTGGGAGTTTGGTGTCATCTTGGCTGTGGCCAGGTGGTGAATCAATCATTCATGAATCCTCTCAGGTGGGAGGGCTTTATAATTAAGGCTGTGGCCCAGTTTGTTCTAAGATTAGCCTCCAGAATTCTTGGGGGGCCTAGTTATAGATGAACTGTCTCTAAGGTCTCCCTAATCAGGGAGAATTTCACAGCCATGTCGTTATGTCTGGCTAAGATTAGCACTTGGGATTTCTAAGAAAGCATGGAGTTAGATAAGCATCGCAGTGTGAAGAAGTCCCTAGAGGGAGAATGAGAGAAAGGGGAAAACATGTTTAAAGTACAGTTTGTTTTTGCTTTTGTTTTTGAGTTGAAGTCTCACTCCATTGCCCAGGCTGGAGTGCAGTGGCACTCTCACAGCCACCCCAGCATCGACCTGCTGGGCTCCTGTGAGCCTTCCACCTCAGCCCTCCAAGTAGCTGGAACTACAGGCGCGCGCTACCACGCCCAGCTAATTTTTTGATTTATTGTAGAGATGAGGTCTCGCCAAGTTGCCCCGACTGGTCTCGAACCTTCAGGCTCTGGCAATCCATCCGCCTTAGCCTCCCAAAGTGCTGGGATTACAGGCTGAGCCACCGATCCCGGCCTAAAGTACAGTTTTAAAGTTAGAACAAAAGAAGAGTTTTAGAATATATTTTGTTCGTGACCCGCCTGGGCAGCGAGACCTCATCTCTACAATAAATCAAAAAATCAGCTGGGCGTGGTAGCGCATGCCTGTAATTCCGGGCTACTTGGAAGGCTGAGGCAGGAGGATTGCTGGAGCCCAGCAGGCGAGGCTGCGGGGGCCGGGAGCGGCCACTGCACTCCAGTCTGAGCAACAGAGTGAGACTCCAACTCAAAAAAAAAAGAAAATATTTTAAGGCTAAAATCAAAATCTTGGTTCCCCAGTATACTATTCAGGCTTTGGGAAGGCTACTTGCTTTATAGAGACTCAGTTGAGGCTGATGCTAAATCCTGATAAACAGCTGGCAGAAAACCCAAGTAGACTCTGCTTCTCTGGACTTTGCTGGGGTACCAGAAGGCTAATTTAGGTGCTGTATAGGACTTCTTCCTCCACTCAAGGTTGAGTGAACTGGAGAGCTCACTTCTCTTGCTTCCTGTAAGAGATTAAATGTTGATGGAGAAGGATGCCTTCAGGGAAAGAGGGAAATACATTTATAAGAGGAAATTGCTACAAATTAGTGGGGGAGCCATAAATTAGGGGTTGAAGGCACACTTTTTAAAGAGGGGTGGATATCGATGGATGAAAGATTTTCATCTGTGTTAATAAGTAATTCAATTCTTCCTCCCTTATCAAGAAAATATGTGCTTTAGACATTTAAAATATAAGAACTCTATTACATGGACCAGAGCATATTTATTCTATGAATAAACAAGATTGCTTAGGGTATACTTGATATATCCTTAGTGTACTATGCTTTTTTTTTTTTGAGTCAGGGTCTCACCCAGGCTGGAGTGCAGTGGCATGATTACGATGATCACAGCTCACAGCAGCCTCGACCTCCTGGGCTCAGACAATCCCTCCACCATGCCCGACTAATTTTTTGATTTTTTTGTAGAGACAAGGTTTTGCTATGTTGGCCAGGCTGGTCTCAAACTTCTGGGCTCAAGCAATCTGGCTGCCTCAGCTTCCCAAAGTGCTGGAATTACAGGCATGAGCCACCGTACCTGGCTGTACTATGCTTTTTAAACAAGACTATAAGTAGAATTAAGTCTTGTTTTAAGTTTTACCGAATATTTTGGTCAAAGTTGAATATTTTTACTAGTTTCTAAGTCACTGAGAGATGAACCATTTTAATTCAACAAGTTATATCATTACTGAGGGTCATTTCTTAATGCTTTAAATTTTTACACAGATATAGTCCAAATAATGAAGACCTTACATCAGTCTTTGCATTCTCCATAATTATTAGAGTGGCTTGCATGTAGACACTGGTTAAACATTAGTTGAATAAATTAATTGTTGTATTTGACAACTTAGCCATTTTTTTTTTTTTTGAGTTGATGTCTCACTCTGTTAGCTGGAGTGCAGTGGCACTCTCACAGCCACCCCAGCATTGACCTGCTGGACTCCGGAGATCCTTCCGCTTCAGTCTTCTAAGTAGCCGGAACTACAGGTGTGTGCTATCACACCCGGCTAATTTTTTATTTATTGTAGAGACGAGGTCTTGTCAAGTTGTCCAGGCTAGTCTCGAACCCTCAGGCTCAGACAATCCACTCACCTCGGCTTCCCAAAGTGTTGGGATTGCAGGCTGAGCTACTGAGATGGCCAGCCATGATTTTTTTAAAAAGGTAATTGTTTTATTTAGCTAAACTCATTTTATATGACAAAGTTCAATATCTGAATTTCTCAACTGTAAGCATTTGATTTTAACAGCACTAGAAGTTTAAAAATGTTTAAGGTGGTCATTGCCTTGCTAGACTCTGGTGTGGCTATGTGCTCTTTGAGCTATGGCTGTTGCCATGCTTCCTGGCTTTGGTCCCCTCCCCCAGCGTGGGGAGGTGAATCTTCTCTGTCTCTCCTCTTTCTTTCTCTTACTTACTTTTAAATAAATAAACTATATTTTTAATCTATAAAAATGTCTAAGCTGTGTGAAATATTTTAAAGGTTATATTTAGTGTGATTTAATTATTTTAACATGGAAAATTCAAATACTCATATTTTAAAATTTTATAAGTGGTATAACTTGTGGAAAGATTTAATTATAAAAGAAGACAGAAGCTAGGCATGGTGGCTCACATCTGTAATCCCAGCACTTTGGGAGGCAGTAGCGAGAGGATTGCCTGAGCCTAAGGGTTCAAGACCAGCCTGGGCAACTTGATGAGACCTCGTCCCTACAATAAATTTAAAAATTAGCTGGGCATGGTGGCACACACCTGTAGTTTCAGCTACTTGGAAGACTGAGGTGGAAGGATTGTCTGAACCCAACAGGTCGAGGCTGTGGTAGCCATGAGCATGCCCCTGTACTCCAACCTGGGTGACAGAGTAAGACTCTAACTCAAAAAAAAAAAAAAAAAAAAAATGGGGGGGAGGAGGATGGGATTAACAGTAGCAAATATCTGTCTGGGGATGGGAAAACACCTCTTATCAACAGGGTGCCTGAATGAAACATAATTGTACACCTAACCCTTAACTGTACCCCACAAAACCATAATAAAAAATATTGATTAAGAAAAAAAAGAAAGGGATTTATTTTCTCTTATATGTTTAATGTAGTTTAAACCATCATGATATATAACCAAATCTAGTGGTATTTTTTCAAAATGTGACCCCCATACCAGTCTTGGAACATGAGCTGTTACATGGATTAATATTTTTAATACATATATATAATTATGAGAAAATATTACATGTTTTTAAATATTATCAGATTAATATAACTATATAAACTTTAAGTTGAAAATAAAGGCTGGATACAGTGGCTCATGTCTGTAATCCCAGCACTTTGGAAGGCCAAGGCAGGAGGATCATTTAAGGCCAGGGATTCGAGAGCAGGCCTGAGCAACATAGTGAGACCCTGTCTATATTTTTAAAAAAGAAAGTAAAATAAATTAATGCAAGCTGAAAATGTTGATTGCAAATTGACAAGCAAGGATATATACAGCAAAAATCACAAAAATTGAATGAATGAAATATAGAAAATAAAGATGTGATGTTTTAACTTTTCTTTGAAAATTAAGTTAAACTTTTAAAATGGCTGATAAAAGTAATATATACGCTTTTAGAAAAACTATGTAAGAGTAAAGAATGAAAAGTAAACATTTTATTATAGACTCCCTCTAATGTCTTCAAATAATCGATTTTAGTTTTTCTGGTAGTTGCCATCATAACACCAGCCAGTGTATTTTAGACATTATTTTGATACTCCATTATTACAGGTGAGGAATGTAGCTTAACAATAACACGTTACTTCAGCACTTCCCAGTTTTTGTTAGCATATTGGTCTGTGTAAGCTGCCATATCAAAATACC